TCGGATGGAGGCGTAGCAAGCAACGGGACTGAACGTTTCCTCGTAATCAATGCCTTCTCTTTGTTCAAAGCCTCGTGCTACAAGCCTCGCCTTTAGCTTACCATTCGCCTTTTCACGAAGAACCCACTTGCAGGTCAAGGGTTTGACTCCTTCAGGGCACTTGACCAGCTTCCACGTTTGCCTTTCGATCAGCGAATCATACTCATCTTGCATGGCTCTCTGGTTTGATGTCTTCTGGTCGAGGGGATGAGAGTCACGGTGCTGCTTACCGTACGCACAGCCTGTACATAAGTAATTGTTCCAGTCGTCCAAGTACTTGATTCCTTTCTTGTCCAATGCCTGTCGTACGTACTTCACGTTTTGATGAGCTAATCTTTCATGCCAAATTCGAATTGACACTGTCGCCAGACTCAGTTGCTCCTTTTTCTTCCTCAGCATCATCTTGTACAGGTTTCCAGTTCGTTTCGCCAGTCCAACAGTATTTCCCTGATCAGCAGATACAAACTCTGATTTTTCTTTGTCCGATTTCATCTTGTATCCTCGATCAAGCATGTGACTCACAGAAAATAAATTGTATTTCAATTGAGGTACATGTAAGACATTTGTCAGAACAACTGGATACCACTCTTTTCCGTCAAAAGCTTCTAACTCCACTGTTCCGACTGCCACGCCATCTATTTCAGTTGAATCTCCCAGGAGAACAGACACAGGGTTGCTCAGTTCAGTGTATTCGTTGAACCATTCTCGACGCGATGTCATGTGTTGCGTTGCGCCACTGTCTTGATACCAGGCTGACATCTGTTCCTCTGGATTGTTCAAGTTGTTCTCCAGATCAGTCGTCTTCAAGCTGGCTGTCACCCAGGCAACGGGAGGTTTGCGTGACCTTTGAGAATCTGAGCTGTCATCTCGCCGTTGAGTACATTCTCTTGCGAAATGGCCTTTCTGTCCACACGAGTTGCACTTGTAAGTTTTCTTGCAGTATGCCAAGTATTTGGCACAGGGTTTGTTCTGGCAGTCCTTTTTAAAGTGTCCTTTTAGTCCACACTTGTAACAGATCAATTGTCCCTTCTCAGTCTTGTTTTGTGATTTTACTTGATGCTTTTTATTTTTCTTCACGAGAAGTGCATTGCTGAAACTTACTTCCAATTCACCTGTCTCATCGCGTTGACGATCATCTTCGAGTCTCAGTCTTTCGATCATGGTGGTCAGGCTCTTGTCGGCTGCTGGCACGTTATCCCACGATGTACGAAAATGAGCAAGTCTCACTGGCAACATTTTCAGAATTCTGGTCATCATCCATGATTCCGGCACAGGTTCACCACCGTTGGTTAGTTCATCACCTATGGACATAACTTCCATGCAGTTTTCGGCCACCGATTTGCTTTCATCGTATGTACATGTGAAAAGTTTCTGTCTCAAAACTTCCATGTTCATCTCTGTCTTCGTGCCGTACAAGCAAACTAGTCTGTCCAACATTGCTCTTGCCGTTTTGCAATTTGCAATTTTATATGCGATTTGATCACTGACATTCAATACTATTAGTTGCAGAGCCTCCATGTCTTTTTCATTCCATTCAATGACTGCAGCGACATTTTCAGCTCCTTCCGGCTTGACCTTGACTCCGGTTGCAACATCATACAACTTCTTGGTTCTCAAAACAGCATCTAATTTTAACCTCCACGGCACATAGTTTACTACTCCTTGTGAGTTTTGACTCAGCATGACGAGTTGTGATTTTACAGTGTCCATTTTTACCTCTTGACTTGACTTTTAAAAATTCAAAAAATTCTGACTTGCGACGTTCTTGCTCAGATCTGCCTTTCAATTTGAGCTCTTTCACAGACTTTTCCTTGGAGATGAAATTTCACCACTTTCTGGGCCCATAACCTGTTGGTATTATATCCGTGGTATCTCCAAGAATAACTTTCGATGTAAAAAGAATTTTATTTTGTAAAAAGTTACAAAATTAGTTTACAACAAAATAACTGTCGAATCAAGAAAAAATACATTCCGTCTAGTTTCTAAGTAAACATTAACAACTGCCAAAAAACAATTTCACACAATACTTGATTAATAGTAACAACATTTTTAGATTAGGCAGAATTGACATGTGACAATTTAGAAGAGAATTACTAAATTTAAACAATTCTTTGATTTATCTCAACACTCCTTCTCAATCAAATAATTACAAAATTTTACAAACAGGTTTTTGTTTAAAGGTTTAGTCAGAATGTCGGCGATTTGTTTCGTGCCTTCAATATGTTTGACAGACACAGTCACATCAACATGTTGTTGAATAAATTTACGTGCGATTTCAATGTGCTTCTTTCCTTTGTTCACCTTACCCTCGTGGGTGTTCATCAACATATGAACAGCTGACTTGTTGTCAACATACATGGGGAAGGGTTGATCATCTTGCAGGATCTTGAGTTCTCTCGCCAATCTTCTCATCCAGCATACATCATCGATCGCTTCACATGCCGCTCGATATTCTGCTTCTGCTGTCGAGGTCGCCACAAGTTTCTGTCGTTGTGAGTACCAAACTAGCGGGCCTCCTCTGAGTATCAGTCGTCCACTTGTCGATTTCATCGTCTCTTTTTCTCCTCCAAAATCTGCATCAGTGAATACTTTGAAGTTCTTGTCTCCTTCAAAACGAATTCCTGCATTTGGAATTCCTTTCAAGTATTGAAATACTCGTTTAACCATTTTCCAATGGCTTTTCATTGGGTTGCAGCATTGTCGACTCAAATAATTTACAGCAAAGCTGATGTCGGGTCTTGACACGGTTGCGAGGTAAAGCAAGCTGCCAATGGCTTCACGATAGGGTGTTCCAACTGGCACCTTCTCATCGTTCATAAGTTCCTCCTTCTTTGTTATCATACCTGATTCCATCGGCGTTGGAGCTGGGTTGCAATTTTCAAGGTTCATCCTTCGCAGGATTTTCTCCACGNTTTTAATTTTGTGTAATGTCGCCATCTTTCAAATACAAACGTAGCAACAACATTTCATCCTTAAGGGTTGATTTTTAAAAATTGCCAAAACACGTATTTGCTTAATTTCAGCAATGAGCATCCTTCGAGTAAATCCGAGTACAAATAAAATGTAGCCCATGGAAACGTTGCAACCTCTTTTCATTTGATTAATAATATCAAACAGCATATATACCAAGTTTCAAGTAAATTCAACCATAAATAAAGTATGTCCCAAACAAAAATTGCAACACCTTTCCCTTTTTTAAATTGTCGAGATAGATCTTTCAGAAATTAAATGAGAGACCATTAAAACAAAGTTTCAAGTAAATCTGATCACAAATAATATGTTCCATTTAAACATTGCAACTCCTCTTCACCACTCATCCCCCCCAACAGAGATTGAATTTTTTAATCAATTTCAAGTAAATCGAACCAAAAACAAACATGCAATCTTAACAAATGAAAGGCTAGACTGATGTTTTGACTGATAAATTTTTTGTTTTGCTGTCAATTTCGTTTTGTCATTCCATGTCAGTTGCGTTTACATATACCACATTTTTCTCGTGGAAAGTGATAAAAAGTATCCTATGTCCTTCTCCCGGTTGTAAGATACCTCCCCATCAATTTTCAGCCAAATCGGTTCAGCCGTTCTTGAGTTATAAGTGAAGTAACTAACACGACTTTCTTTTATATATATAGATGTTTGTGATGGTATAAACAAATATGTTGCGAAATGGAATTTCTCGGTATTAATCAGCAAAACCTCGGATATTAATCTTTAGAAGTTTTTGAAAATACACTACAGTTCCTAAACACGCTGTTACTGAATCTGGTACTTAAATGGATATAAAAAATAGCGGTTACAGAATGGCTCGATAAGATATGAAAAAATCGCAAACTGCAAAATATATTTTTTAATGGTAATCAAGATGTTTAATACGATTATTTAACTCCGTCGTTTCACTTCGTGTAGGATGATTAAAAACAGGCGTTTGTACTAGGAGAACTGAAACGAACTGGAGATGTATGCAAGATTCAAGTAAGGATCAGAAACGAAAGCTAATAAGTATTGGCTACCAAAAAAGGAAAGACTATGCAGAATGTGTAAGAAAGTAAGAAAGAGGAGGTAACACTACAACATGTCCTAGAAAAATGTAAGCCCCCGGGAAAAGAGCAAGAAAGTTAGATAGAAGGAATTGGAAAGGGACAATCTCGCTCTCACGCACCCACGCACGCACGCACCCACACAATCTCTTTAGCAGAAAATCCGTAAAGCCATGGACTATCACGACATTATCGCCTCTCGTCGTACTTCTACAAATCCGAGATTGAGTTCTTAAGAAACCAACTTTAGCAAAACAGAAACCTTCAGGTTGTCCTCCGTGCGAAGCCATCTTCACAGACGATATTGAGCCCGAACTTATTACTAAAGGTTTCGCTATCCGAGGAATGCACCGAATGTCAAAAGGTGGAAAAATGTGGCTATTAGTGTCCGTCCGCCTAGACAAGTCCTCCTCTAAGTCCAAGTAAATTATCGAACTTGGTAAGCTGTGCGGTCTCAACTTCAAAGGTGAGCCGAAAAAAGCCACCAAAGAAATCGCCCAATGCCGCCTTCGTATAAAATTCATTCACACGGCCAATTAATGCCACGCAGCCTGGATCTGCTCTTTTCTTTTTGGCCACAAATGACATGATGGGTTGCATACCCTTCGTGCACTACTTCAGAGTGGTAAGACACCTACTCTGACTTGCACGTCTAATTCAAGTCCTTTTTTTGCTCTTTTTTTTTAACTTTAGACTGCATTTATTCGAATTTGAGTTTCATAATGAGTTAAATTGTAATGCATATATTCACAAACTTGCTGAGGAACTTTAACGGAGCACAGAATCAACAGAGAAGTCGCAGCTGCAGTCAATTCTTGATTCCATTCCAAAAGTAGTTCCCAGACCATGGCGATAATGTATAAGAAATAACGAAATTAAAGTGAATTAGTTAGATGATCAATTGCAAGTACATGTACAAGTTACTTGTCCTTGCTCGTCATACTTCTCTCAGAATCTCTACCAGGTTCGGAATTATCAATTCGATCAAATAGCGAACTTCCCTTCCTCTTTATACTGAGTTGAATGAGTTCGTTTTATCACCCTGGTGGTTTCCCTGAAATAGAGGAGAATATTACTAGTTGATTCAGGATGTTGATCATTACCAAAAAGAGATATTTTTTAGATACCTGATGATATTTTTATTTGATATTATTATGATATGTACACTCNTTTATTAACTTCTTTTCTGTCTTTATAATATTTATTATAACAATAAGTTTTAGTCGTAATATCAGTAATACTGATACCCCGCTGAATACTACGCGGAATTATCACTTCGATCAGATAGCGAACTTCCCTTCCTCTTTATACTGAGTTGAATGAGTTCGTTTTATCACCCTGATGGTTTCCCTGAAATAGAGGAGAATATTACTAGCTGATTCAGGATGTTGATCATTACCAAAAAAAAATGTTTTTTAGATACCTGATGATATTTTTATTTGATATTATTATGATATGTACACTCAGCTTTTACGTCTTTTCCATCTATAGTCCCCCGGCGTAGCTTCAGGCTCCATCTTTTGAAAGAGCTTTCAGTTGCAGCTGCCTCAAGACGCCCAGTTTGCCCTAAAAAGGATATTTTACGATAGGTTCAAATTAATTTGAGTGGTAGAGCGTTGTATACAGCATTTCAACTTTAAAACAAAGCTTTATGCGATGGTACAAAACGTACCGCAACTGATTCATTACATGAATAACAATCAAGTCCATAAACAGAATATCTCATTTATGAATATTCAGACATTCTAATTCTATATTAAAAAGGCTGGAGAGACTGACCGCCCACCAGCATTAGTCAGCAGGTCAGCACTGGGTTTTCACTCTGTCAATGGTCATGGGTGACACCCTTATCGCCGGACAGCGTTGTTCGCGGTGACCTGTTTTACTTTATTTTGCAGTATCCAAGATTGTGTGTTGAAAAATGGAGTTTTTCCCCTTCGCACGTTTTTAATCAAACCAATTTAAAACAATAACCCTCGCGATTTATTCCTAAGGCTTTAGAGTGAATGGTTATCGAGTTTTCTGTTTTATATAATGGTACAATGAGCAAAATATGAGATTGGTGAGGTGTAATTTTTAATAATAAAGTAATACCTGAACGTTG